TTATGTTTTTTCTTTTACTTTATTATCATAAAACAGAACAACAGAAAAATGTACAGAGCCATTCCTACTATTCAGAGCCTTTGAGTTCCCATGCCATAATATGGTATATTTTGTTTAAAGGTGGGCTAAAATTTATTTGATTAATCTCGTCTTATTTGACTCCCCTCTACCATAAAACACAACCATATATACACACGATTAATTTATTTAAAATAGTTAAATTTAATTTTAAATGCAACTTGGGTTTACTGCCATGTCCCCTTTAATGTTTCCTGAAATTAAGTTACAATTCTAAGTAATAAAAATAAAAAAAAATCATTTTTTTAATTATTTTTTAATAGTACTATTAATGATAGTTCTTATCCAATTACATTTTATGATATCAAAATATTTTTATGCTTAAATTATTAAAAATAAATTGAGCCCCGGTAGCACAGTGGCGCAACTGGTAGAGCTGCTGCCTCTCAGCGAACAGGTCCCTGGTTCAAACCCCGGTCCAGGGGCCTTTCTGGGTGGAGTTTGCATGTTCTCTCCGTGCATGCGTGGGTTTTCTCCGGGTGCTCCGGTTTCCTCCCACAGACCAAAAACATGCATGTTAGGCTGATTGGTAACTCTAAATTGTCCCTAGGTGTGAGTGAGAGAGTGAATGGTTGTTTGTATCGTTTGTCTCTATGTGTCCCTGTGATGGACTTGTGACCCGTCCAGGGTGTACCCCGCCCCTCGCACAGTGATTGCTGGACATGGGCACCAGCGATCCCCGTGACCCAAAATGGAATAAACGGGTAAAGATAATGGATGGATGGATGGATGGATGGATGGAAATTGAGTCCCTGAGTCAACAGTCCACCCTGTTACTCTAAAATACCTGTCACCCCCAGTCTGGCTTAATGTAATTCTGTTTTTTGAAACGTAATTCGTTTTTTTCAAATGTTTATTTACACCTCAGGGCCACCGTACAATACTGCTTTGTGCGTAACGTTTATTCATACTGCTACAATTCCATTTCTCTACGTAATATCATTTTGGTCTAAAACTCTTTCATGAAAGGAAACGGGCAAAATGCATTCAAGCATTTGTAAACCAATGCTAAACTAGCAACAGGAACATTTTAGTTAAAATATACAAAATGTATTCTGCAGAGAATATTTCTTCCACCACTGAAACAAAAAGCTGTAATGCTAACACTTGTGTTTGTGTACATAAATAGTTGTTCCTAATTTATGTATTCTGTACCAGAACACAATATGATTATGATTTAATGCATAATTGTTCTTTCAAAACTGGGGAAGTTTTTGAATTTTCAGGTGCTTTCGAAGTACAGCTGAACTAAGTACATGCAATTGTAAGTGTTGTGGCTTATGGTAATAAAATGTGTGGTTATTTTTTGTTTAAGTTTCTTTAAGTTTCCATTTTTAAATTACCTGTTTAGAGCTGTGACCTTTGCTCCAAGGTGGTTTTCTATTATCACAGTAACTGTAATAACTGTGGTGTTTTCTTGTTGCCCAGGACTTCCCATTGGGACCAAACAGCTGAATGTTGCGCGAGTACCTCTTTCGAAGAAAAAAAAATTGTTTAAAAAAATAGCATGCTGGTGAATATACCAACATATTACAGTAAAATGATTGTAAGATGATCAAATCACCTGTAGAGTGTGAGCACAGGGGAAACCGGGCTGGAGGGTTGTAGTGGTGCAACTTGGAAGGTATAAATCAGCTGAGAAGTCTCGCTTTCATCAACACGCCATCCTGTCAGTGTTGACAGAGCATAGTAAATTATATGTGGTTTAAAAATGAAGAAAAAAAATAGATAGTTTACCACTTTGTGAAAAATAAATCAGTGTTACCTGAACAACTGTAGGTGACAACAGTCTCTAGCAGCCTTATTTGTGTTTCTGGACTTAGCTCACATACTCCGTCTTGTGGTGCACCATTGGTCTTTACTGACAAGCTGGCGACCCCCCACCACCTGTTGCCAGGCTGGGATACATTCAGGACAAAGGAATAACTACGGCCTGGCTGCAAGACCTTTGAACGCACCACCAGCTTTGCGGAATATATTCCTGTAGAGGTTGTGGCATCATTGAGGTCAAGAGTCAGGCCACTCTGGTCTTCAGCACTCCATTTGTACTGCGTGAAAAAATATTGTAAATAATATCTGAATGCAAAATGTCTTGCAACTGTGAATAACTAATAACTAAACATAATGAAACTGGCAGCTGAAGGAATGCATGGATCCTTGCCTCACATGCCAAAGTTTTAAACAGAGAGATTGTGCAATCTGTAAGTTTTCAGAGTTTGTGTTTGGGATGATGTTCAACTACCATCACATCATATTTTAGCTCAATATCTTTAAAATGTTATTCTATTGCCATTTCTGGTTTTATATAGGTTTTCTAGTTGTGGATGCCATCTTGCATCTGACTGACTCCAGAAAATGATTAACTGTAGATTGATGTATGTTGCATGATTTGTTTTAGAGAGTTTTGTTAACAGGAACTAAGATGTTCATGAGATATTTCAGATAAACGTGAACAAAACAAAGGAGATGACTGTAGATTTCAGGAGAAATAGGAACAGGTCCAACACTATTTCCATCATGGGAGAAGAAGTAGAGGTGGTGGAGAAGTATAAATCCCTTGGGGTTCACCTGGACAACAGACTGGACTGGAAATGCAACAGTGAAGCGTCTACAAGAAGGGACAGAGGAGACTGTACTTCTTGAGGAAGCTGAAGTCCTTCAATGTTTGCAGCAAGATGCTGCATATCTTCTATAAGTCTGTTGTAGAGAGCGCTGTCTCTTCTCCCATCATCTGCTGGGGTAGCAGCACCAGAGCAAGTGACTTAAAAAAGATCAACACGCTCATAAAGAAGGCTGGCTCAGTTCTGGGGACTCCTCTAGAACCTTTGGAGATGATTGTTCAAAGAAGGATTCTTCATAAAATGAAAAACAGACAACCCTCAGCATCCTCTTCATCAGACTGTCATACAACAACAGAGTGTCTTCAGTCAGAGGCTTCTTCAGATCCGTTGTAGGACAGACCACTATGAGGGTGTGCAGGAAGGATCGATCCTTCCTGCCCACAGCCATCAGCATCTATAACAACTCTTTAATGAAACCAGGATGATGAGTTACAACATTTAATTTCCCTCTGGGATTAATAAAGTATTTTTGAATTGAATAAAGCTGACATCAACAATTACTGCCATTTTTAATGTAAGATTTCATGCAATGTGTTGGGGGTTACTGAAATGAAAAAGAGAGTCCAGGCAGGATGGAGAAAAGTTTCATTAGTGATTTGTGACAAAAGGGTGTTGGCAAAGGTCAAAGGAAAAGTTTACAAGACAGTGGTGAGACCAGCTATGTTGTATGGTCTGGAGACAGAGACATGGACAAAATGACAGGAGACAGAACTGGAAGTGGTAGAAATGAAGATGTTGAGGTTCTTCCTTGGGAGTGACAAGGATGGATAAGGTTTGGAATGAGATCATCAGAGGTACAGCACTGGTTGAACAACTGGGAGATAAAGTTAGAGAGACCAGACTGAGATGATTTGGACATGTCCAGAGGAGGGACAGTAGTTTGGACATGTCCAGAGGAGGGACAGTGGTTTGGACATGTCCAGAGGAGGGACAGTGGTTGGTAGAAGGATGTTAGAAATGCAGCTGCCATGAAAAAGACCAAGGAAGGCCAAAGAGGAGATATATGGATGCAGTTAGAGAGGACTTGGAGGTAGTTGGAGTGAGGACAGAGGACAGTGAGATGGAGGAGGATGACTCGCTGTGGTGATCCCTGAAGAGCGGAAAAAAGAATAAAAAGAAGTGTGACTCAGGTGCCACTACACCTAATTTTAGCTCACTATCTACAAAGTATAAAACTGCCTGACTTTTCTTTACAATGGAGACATTTTTAGCATTAGTTGTGGCAAACTCATGAAGATGATTTTTAGTTATTTATTTTCATGATTGCTTGTCTTTCATATAACCAGTAAACAACAACAACAACAAAAATTAAATATATGAAAGCAAGTCAAAGACAAACTGAGAAAGCAACCCTTTTATATAACTATTACATAGTTCATTGGTCATGTTTTAAAATATTATTCAGTGTTAAGATATTTTTCTATTCATTCAGATGGTTCTCATGTTGGGGACACCATAATTACCTGAGCCTGATCATCACGCAGTCCACACTGTCCAACAAGTACAACAGTACTGCTGTAACTTATGTGGTGAATGGAGGACATAACTGAACAGGAAACACATTTTACCATCACAGGAAGTGCTGGAGCTTCAGTCATAGTCACCTAAAACAGATAAGACATCAAAGTTTTAAAAATGGATTCTGAAATGACTCATTTGGATGAACATTAACTCTGCTGTTTGTCACCATGAGCTGCTTTATGCTTCTGTGATCAGTTCTGTCATTGTTGGTCTTAAAAACAGTTTATTAGCAACTAAGACGCAACAAAACTTTAGCTGCTCCTCTCTGTTTAGCAGCAGATCTTGAAAAACACTTTTTGTAAAACCATATACCAGCAATATTCACCGTTTGATTGACAGAAACGGGTCTTCTCCCATTTTTATAGACGGTGAGGATAAAAATGTAGACTGTGCCTGGGTGCAGCAGAGATCTGAGGACAGTCATCCTCCTGTCTGCAGTCTCTATCGGCTGCTTTCTTAAAGGAGACTCTGTGGAGTTCTGCAAATACAAGAGTGACAAAATAAACTAAAACCAAAACCTACTTACTCTAACTTTCCTACTTTCAAAGTGTAATACTTCAGATGTAACAAGAATTAGTTTCCATGACATTTGCATGAAATAAAAGGAAACAAGATTTACCATCATTAGGCAGGTCCAGTGATACTGCAGAATATCAACCACTCCAAGTTCCACATCAGGGTCATAAGACTCAGACCCATCCAAGACCAGGTCACTGATAGTAGACCACAGTCTGTGGGACCCCCCCCTTGATGATGGCTACTAACGGGGAGTGAACCACTGTAATGTTTGTCTTCTGTTGAACAAGTATAGGAGTTCCCTCAAAGGATACGGTGAATACCAGGCAATAGTCTCCTACATCAAGAGTATTCTTTGGAAGTAAAAGAAGAGGTGAATGCACATCCTCATGATTCCATTGGCTGACTTTAGTTTCATTGGTAAAACATGGCACCTTGAAAATGTCCCACAGGTATATGGTTTTGTAAGCGGAGCAGTTTATGTCCACAGTTGCTTCAAAAAAAACTGGTCTGGATCGAAAGATGGTAGGCTGAATCTGAACCAGTGAGACTTGTGGGCTGGAACACTGAAGCTCCTCTACTTCCACTTCTAGCTGTGTAGAAACATGGCTAACATTGTTGAGAGCTTTGACCAAAATACCATATTTCTTCTTATAATAATAGATATGACTAACAGCCCTTGAGTTTGTCACTATTATTTCAGTGGCATCTCCAAAGTCCCAAATATATATGGCATTACTTACATAATTTAATGAGGCAGAAAACCTGACAGCATGTCCAACAAATATTTTCTGAGAATGGCAGATAAGTTTGACATTTTTAATAGGCCACTCAATTGTTAGAGTGTAATTTATTTTCTGAGAGCAGACTCCATTACTGGCATGCACAGTAACAGACATCAAACCGCTCTCTGATGGTGTATAGACAATTTCTTGTCCCACAAGCCACACAGGTCCACCACTTTGTGACTGAAACTTCCATGTATAGTTTGTTGGAAAGCCACTTTGAACGTCTGCCTTGAGAGTGACAACTTTCAGAGCCTCTAGCGTAACGAAGCAACAGTTAACAAGATGCAAACCTTGGATAATCTCTGTTACAACAATGCTACTGGATGTCTCGGCACTGCTGACCTGGTTCAGCGCTTTCACTGTAACCAGGTGTTGGCCAGCTGGAAGACTTGTTGTGGTAAACAGGTCTTCAAAGGTGTCCCAAATTTGAACTAAGTCTTTGTTTTGGAACATTATAAAAAAACTTACATTATTCCCTTTGGTTATTGTTGGAATGAACACAACCTGTTCCTGAGTGCACAAAGAGGTTTTGCTAATGTTCAACTGAAGACCTTCAACTGGTTCCTGAACAGTGACATTGTGCCAAACCTTTTGCCAACTTATCTCATTGGAGACGTTTATATGCACCTCAAATATGCCTATATCAGAAAAGATATATGTAAATAATGGATTAGTGGAGGTTAAAATAGTTTTATTGGCCCTTCGAATCTTCCAGTTCCAGTGCAGGTCACTACCTTTGTAGGCAAACCCATGGAAGGAAAGAGAAGTACTTACATTGACAAAAAAATTATGTTTTTGTCTGTTTATTTCAAAACCTACCTCTTGGACTTCAGCTTGAACCAAAAGCTTTTTGGTGTAATTACTCTGGTTTAAAACATTTTGAACTGAAACTGTGACTAGGCTTTCTCCCAGATTTGTAAATGTGTAGAGTAAAAAAGGCACATATGTCAGCAATGGTGAAGAATCTGTATCCACATACCAAAGGTACTGTAGATCTGAACCTTCATCCACAAATACAGTTAGATTTATTGCTTTCCCCAGTGCCACAATGTTTGATTGTGTTGCCATGTGAGCATTTTTTACACACTCTACTGCCACAAGAGAAACACTAGCAACTATCTCACCTAACATATTTGAAGCTTTAACCTGAACTGAAACCCTGCCGGGGGATTCAACGGTGATAGGAAAAAGCTCTCCATCACCTTGTAGTTGTTGGGTTACTCCACTCTGCATGGCATCCCAGTAATAAGTGACATTGGAGCCTTTGGTAATTGAAGCCCTAAATAAAATTTCTTTGTGAGTTGGTATATATTTATTGTTTGTAATGTTTTGGCATTCTATCTGAAGACCCTCTATTCGCTCAAAAACCTCAATCAAGATGGCTGCCTCCCTTTCACTGACTAAGTTTTTTGCCACTACATTCACTTTAAATACTCCTGGTTTGGAAGACAGAAAGAGAAACTGAAATGTCCCCTTTTCGGTTGCAGTAATACCTTCCACTGTCCAATAGTAGTTAGAGCTGCTAATAGTACTGCTAACTGCTGTAAAAACAACTTCTTGCCCTACTTCAGCATACGATTGATCAATGTGAAGTGAAAGTTCTGAAACAGGAAGTAAAACATTGACTGTAAGGGTTGCAGAGTCCTGGCTGACAAAGTTAAATGCCATGGCGGTGACTGTGAATTTACCACTTGAGGTAAAGACATGCGACACATTTTGCTTCTTCTCCACCGGAGACCCATCTCCAAAGTCCCACAGCACTGACACATCACTGCCAACATAGCCCACAACCCAAAATAATGTTGATGTATTGACTGTGAGTGTTTCACTGGGGCTATCGCATGCAATAAGGAGTTTACTAACCAGTTTCTGAATGGTGATGGTAGCGTTGGCAGTTTTGTTGCTGATACTGTTTGTTGCATGTATAGAAACCGCTTCAACACCTTCGCTTCTGAAGACAAAGCACTTCTGAGAAATTTCTGTAGTAACAACAAGACTAGGAGACCTATTAAACCACCTTAATTGATAAGCTGTAGTTTGTTTGGGGGAAACCAGCACTCTAGCGCACACCTCTTCTCCAATTGCCACAACATCCTGTAATATCTGCAACTCAACATGAGTTAGACTTTCAACACAGATACTTGTCCTAAATGATACAGTTGTAAAGGTACTAAACATAGTCATATTTATGTGAAAAACCCCATGTCTTGGAAATGCGTGCATGACTGTTGATTGTCCAGTCATTACAATCAAAGGTGACTCTCTCTCAAAGTCCCAGCGGAAACTCAGCGTGGACATATTTTCATTCACCTGAGCACTTAGCTCTGTGGCTTTTCCACTTATGACACATTCTGTTGGGAAAACTGCACTAACCATCAAACTGTGCACTTCAACAGTGACAGACTGATGAACTTGGCTGACAGAGTTAGAAACATTCACACCAACTCTATAGATTCCTGGAAATTTATAAATGTGGGAGATGGACCCATCTGTGGTGTTTTCTAGCAGAGACTCATCACCAAAGTCAAAATCCCAAATGGGACAGGTGCCAGAGGCCACTGTAGCTTTAAAGTCCACTGGCGATCCTACCTCACTTGGCTCACTGTACGTGATGGTTAATCCAGAGATTTCTTCCATAACAACCATCACAAGTGAGGCAGTAAGAGAAGTAACAGTGTTGCTGGTAGATACAGTGATGTTATAAACTCCTGCAGATTCAAAGGTGTGGCTGACTTTTTGATTGAAACCTTGGACGACTTTGGAAGCATCCCCAAAGTCCCAAGTGTAGAGGATGCCAACGGTGGATGGTTTGATAGAAGCTTCCAGATGAAGGGCTTCCTTCACAAGTGGAGTCAGAGTAGAAGGGAGGATTAGGAGGCTTGTCAGCTGACGGTGAGCACTGATTGTCATGGATGAGCTGGTGTTGGCAAATTGATCAGAAGCTTGAACCTTCAATGTGTAGTTTCCTGGAGTGAGTGAAATACAAAAACTCCCCTTTATTTTGTGTTATTGAATAGTAAAAATAAATTGCTGCAGTAGATAAATAGATGAATTAACCACGTCAATCTTGAAATTACCACCGCTTGTGGGTTAACGACTTAAAGAAAATAGAATGCAATTTAAAGAAATTGTTTAAAATGATACATGAAGGATTTTTTTTTTTTAAATGGTGCCACAGTGGTGCAAGTAGTAGGGCTTGTTGGCTTTCAGTGAGAAGGTGCCGGATTGAATCCTTGGAACATTTTATGAGTTTGGATGTTCTTCATGTATTCTAAATTGTCCTTTGGTGTGAGTGAGTGAATTTGTCTCTGTGTCCCCTTTATGGATTTGTCCAGGGTGTCCCCTTTCTCGCAACCCCAGGTTTACAAGACTGGCACTGGTCCCAAGTTGATACAGACGGATGATTTCTAATTTTAATAAAACATGCTAATTATAATTAGACAGGTAGACTTCTAGACAAACTGTATAAAATTGGTACTGTGTTAAAAATAAAAGTCACATTTACTGGAAATAGACATTAAAATTACCTTCAAGATATCGTAACACATTTATTTACATAAAATTCCACAGTTATTTTCAAGTGCAAAAAACTGCAACCAGAGCAAAAGGTACCACGTTCAGAGAAGCTTGGAGTCCAATCTGGCAGGAAGTTTATGATTTTTCTTCTAACTGTAATTGGACATTTTGGCAATGTGTAAAGAGTTACAGTAATTATTATCATTTGTGTGAACTTATATGAAATTTTGTCTTGAAGTTCTTTCAAGATGACAAAATCCACTTTCTTAGCAAACCCTTTTTCAAAGCATATCTCATCATTTTTAAACAACTGCAATCTTTCACATATTTATAATTCTTCATAAAAACCCAATTTTACTTTCATGCCACTGTGAAATTCCCATTAAATGGTTATTTTGTATTTTGTGCTGGTTTGTTGTGGTGAGGAGGGAGCTGAGCTGTAAGGCAAAGCTCTCTGTTTACCAGTTGGTCTACGTTCCTCCTCTCACCTATGGTCATGAACTCTGGGTAGTGACTGAAAGAATGAGATTGTGGATACAGGTACACAGGGTAGCTGGACTCTTCCTTTGAGATAGGGTGAGAAGTTCAGTTATCGGGGAGATACTAAGAGTAGAACCACAGCTCCACCACATCGAGAGGAGTGAGTTGAGGTGGTTTGGGAATCTGGTAAGGATGCTTCCTGGGCGCGTCCCTAGGGAGGTGCTTCAGGCATGTCTGACCAGGAGGAGTCCATGGGGAAGACCCAGGACACACTGGAGAGACTAAGCCTCTTGATTGTTGAACGCCTTGCAGTAGAGTTGGAAGAGGTGGCTGTGGAAAGAGATGTCTGGACCTCCCTGTTCAAGCTGCTACCCCCGAGACCTGACTTTGGACTAAGTGGAAGATGATGGATGGATGGATGGATGGATGGATGGATGGATGGATGGATGGAT